TCCAGGAGTATGAGGAGTCGGAGGGGGGACGAGTGAGTAGACAGAGTGGAGAGAGGAGGAGAGAACAGGAGGAGTAGAGAGAGGAAGAGGAAGGAGGATGACGTTGAGAGAAGGAGGAAGGATGATGTTGGCGATGTTGTCAAGGAGGAGGAGTCAGCATGAACCAGACCAGAGCATGCCTCGACGGAGCTCGGCTCTTAAGAGGGGGGTAGTGTCATGGGCCTGGATGCTCAAGAAGCAGGAGGGTCATGGGTTCATATGGAAAGAGCACAGGTATCGAAGACCTAGTCGATACCAGTAGAGAGCATGGTCGTAGTGCAGTCTCCATGGAGACCACGGACTCCTATGGATTCACATGCAAAGGAGAACCGAGCCACATGCGAGGAGGACCAAGCTCAAGGAGCAGGCACAGCCACGAAGAGGACCAAGCTCAAGGAGCATGCAGATGGTTACCACTCAGGGGCTCGAGAGACAGGAAGTCGACACAGGTCAAGAGGAGGAGGAGCAGTGTCGAAGGAGTCGACACAGGTCATGAGGAGGAGGAGCAGTGTCGAAGGAGTCGACACAGGTCATGAGGAGGAGGAGCAGTGTCGAAGGAGTCGACACCACTCAAGAGGAACAGGGGTGCCAAGCAGGAGAGGCCCCTGAGCAGTACTCGATGAAGAAAGTACTCTCTGGAGAGAGAGAGCAGGAGCAGCATCGCTGGCGATGCTGTGAAGAGGTATATAACCATGCTTTCTCATCATCATAGGTCGAGTGGATCCCGATCCACTCTACTCACCATAACTAGTTATCACTTCAGCATAAGTATACATTAGTTTCAGTCAGCATAGCAGCAATCTATCAAGGTTGCTCCTCATCGTAGTGTGTGTGTTGTATCACCACTACCTGACATCCGAAGGCGCCCATAGCAGGTTAGCGGTCCGGATATAGATAGAACCGAAGGCAGTAGTCCACTGCGGTCCGGGGATCACTTCAAAGTAGCAAGTCAACACACTGGACACTCGTGTTGACGCCACCAACCTTATCACCAACACCATCAACCTCATTATCATTGACATCACCAACCTTATCATCAACACCATCAACCTCATTATCACCGACATCACCAATCTCATCACCAACACCATCAACCTCATCATCATCAACACCCACACCAGACCTTGGTGTCATCATAACATTGATATTGATCGTGCCGAGCTACCCCTGAACGGAGTGTCCACAGAGGTCAGCCGAAACCTACGATAGTATATACAACAAACGCCACCTGCTGTCACTGCACAACTTGATAGTCACCGAGTATCTCGAGACAATAGCTGTCGCACAGTTCGATAGTCACCGAGTATCTCGACAGACCGACCTGGGTTTCAGGCGCGAGACCCCTGACAGGGTGCTACTGGTGCGAAGACCTCTGTATAGTCGATGCCCTCGCGTTGAGTGAAACCTCGTGCCACGAGCCGGGCTTTGAACTTTGTCGGCACGAGGTTTGCATCGGTTTTGATCTTGAGTACCCAACGTGTGTCGACAGTATTTGCACCCTTTGGGAGGTCGACTATCTCCCATGTGCCCATCGCCTCCAATCCATCCAGCTCCTTTCGCATGGCCTCCTCCCAGTGTTTTCTGTCCTTTCCACTCATTGCTTCATGTATGGTTGGGTCCAGGTTCTTTCTCCATTCCGGTCGCGTCGCTACGAGTCCATAGAATTCGCTGTCAATTTGAGTTTCGGCGATTGGTCCTTGTTCCATCACCTCCGCTGTTCCTTCGCTTAATCTTTCTTCCGAATCTGTCTCCATATCCATGTATTCTCGTAGTGGCTCTTCATCTGTTTCGTCGAATATATTTTCTTTATTGTATCCTAGATCTTCGAAATTTTCCTCTGTCATCATCATTGGGGGTGCCTTTGTGTCAACCGGTCGCCACTCTGTTCTGTCTGACCAGCACTTTGATTCCATGAATTTTGCTGAGTTGCTCCAGAAGATGTTCGGATTGTAGTCCGGGCTGTAGAAGAGCCAGCCCTTCCTTTCTAGACTGTACCCTAAGAAAATGGATGCGACGGCTCGCTGGTCCAGTTTCTTGTTGTCCCGTTTAACTTTGGGTACGTTTACCCATGCCAGACAACCAAACACTCATAGGAGCTTTAAAGCTCGTTCCGGCGACTTGCCAAACATCGCTTGATAAGGGAATTCATTATCAACGCTCGGAGTGAGGTTTATTTTGAACGCCGCAGCTCTGATCGCGTATGGCCAGAACTTCTTCGGTAGTCTCCTCTGCATTAGCAACGTTCTCATCTTCTCTCCAAGGGTCCTGTTCATTCTTTCTACCCGTCCATTTTGTTTGCTGTTGTACCCTACGGTGGTTTGCCACTCTATGCCCTTTTCTAACGACCATTCTAATGCATCATTGCTTTTCCATTCCGTTCCTTGATCGGATCGGATTGCTTTTAGCTTCCGATCCGTCTGTGTCTCCAGGAACGAAACAATCCTTTTGAGTTGCATAAAGGCATGACTCTTTCGTGTCAATGGCTGTGCATACACATACTTGCTATGATCGTCGACCAGCACCAACGTGCATGTGTACTCCGTCACGTGGGACGAGTCTATTATTAGATCGACGTGGATAAGATCCAGGGGCCCTACGGCTCTTTCGCTGCTACCTTTCCCCATCCGAGCGCTTGTGCTCTTGGATCGTACGCACTGCTCACACGTCAGAGCGGTGTTTGGATCCAATTTCATGGTATGCTTATCCTTTAACTTGGTTGTGATCGCCTTAGCTTTATCTCTTCCTGGGTGCCCGAGACGCTCATGCCATAGTTGTTGTTTTGAAACTTTCGGCTCATTCTCAATATGCTCGAACTCCTCATCAACACCTTCAAACAATGGTGCTGATGTGGCCATCGCGCTTTCTTGCCATGTGTCGCCTCGGAACTCCAGAAGTCCTCGCTCGCGATTCTTTGCAATCTTAAGTGTCATGCCGTTTGTTAGAAAAATTTGGCCGCCGGTTGTGTCCAATATCACTCGTGCTCCTTCATCCGTTAATGAATTTGTTGACAGAAGGTTAACATTAAGGTGCTTTACATACAATACATTTTGCAGAGAGATTTCCCCGTAATCTGTTGATATGCTTGCATCTCCTATAGCTGCCGCTTCCAAGACCTCGCTTCCGGTGGTAATTATCCGCTTTCGGCAAGTTCTCGGGTGGATGAGCATGCTGTAGTCGTTCACCATATGGTAACTCGCCCCCGAGTCCAAGATCCAATGAGCTGTTTCTTTTGTGTTCGAGGGGTCCTGCCATTTCATTGGGAGGGTGAGGGAGCACCACGCTTCCTATTTAGGTTCAGCGAGGGGGGAGTCCTTGGGAATGGTAACCAAGGCGTCGCATTGACTGATACCATGTCCCGGTCGCTTGCAGACCCAGCATCGGATTCGGCGTGACTTGCTTGCGTTCCTCGAGCTCGCGTGGCTGTTGTCGGCTTCGGCTTCGGTCTCTCCGGCCCGTTCGTTTTGATCGTCGTTGCCGGCGGTTCTAGCACTGGCTTGTCGAGGGTCGATCCTTTGTGCGGGGACGCTCTCGACAGCGGTCTGCCGGATGCTTAGTGCGGTGGCAAGGGCGTTGAAATCGATTTGATGGACGGTGGCAACCGTCTCCTTGTACACCGGATGCCGGATCGTGCATTTCTGCAGAGCCGAGAACAATGTATCATCGGCGAATGGTTTGCCGAGGAGGCTGCTTTCGGTTTGTATGGACCGGATCTCTTGAATTAGCTTTCTGGCGTCCGAGTTAAACATCTTTGTATCGTTGAGTTGCGAGATAAGCGCAAGTCTGTGAGACGTCTTGGTGGCTTCATTCGTGAGACCGTTTTCGATCTTTCTCCACACTTGGTTGAAAGTAAGGTACTCCTTGATTACATCTAGAACGAGGTAATTTACATTGTGTTCTCCGGTAGTGTCGATTGTTCCACGCAGGGCGTTGATTAAAGCATCGTCGAGGGAGCGGCTCCATTTCGGGTGTTTCTTGTCGTACGTTCCCTCGAGATGTTTCATCGCATGAGGCACGGATCGGAGGAAAGATTTCACGTGGGCGCTCCAGCTATGATAGTTTCGTGACATGAGCTTTGGCACGGGTTCGAGGAGCTTTGCTAGGGTGCGAAAGTTATATCGCTTGTCACCATCATCAAAGTCGGAGTCGGAATCGGTGTCTTCGTCGGCTTCATCATTGATGGCCTCCGGCTCGTTTTCGCTCGTGGCATTATTATCGACCCGAACCTGGGTGTTCTTGCCTTTTCTGCCTCCTTTGGTCCTCGTTTCGGTGTCTTCTACCATGGTTGTCGGCGAGTTTCGGTTAGCTCGGTGATAGCTTCTTCAGACTCTTAATCAAATGAAGATAACAATTAATATACGGCGTTATCGGGGTCACGATCAGACTCCCTTTACCACAGCCGTATGTTCTATGTAATGCTTAGTTTTCATGATGTGAGACTGAATGACAAACACATATATATACTCCATTCACTGCTCTGGTCCTATTCGAGGCAGGATGTGTCTCTTCATTTGTACTCCTGTGTTGCTATGATACCGGGTGCCACTGTGCTGTCACCATGACAACAATTACGTACCTCATTGTACTTCTCGCTTACGTGAGCCTCCCGTGTCTCAATGTCTCGGCCGTAACATGTGCATCTTACTTGAGATGCCGACGCATCTTCAACTATTCTTCTCTTCGAAAAAGTGTGTGTGTCTCCCACTAAACAACACACGTGCCTGCATCCGAGCTCTCTCTTGGCTGTGCGTGCGCAGCTTCATCATCATTTAATCTCTTGAAGCTAAGTCGATCACACCATCACCTCCAGCTTTATACCCCGACCATACCTCTGCGTCGTTCATCCTACTGCACGGCGACAAGCCATCTCGCTACCCGCGTCATCATTTCCGGACAACACAAGCGATCAGAATCACAGCCGACAATTAGCATCACCAGGGCCGACACCTCTACTGGAAGCAAAGATGCCATCATCTCGACCATTCGATTTCACCTCTTCCTCCGCTTCTTCGCGACGCTTCAACCGAGCACGCCCTGCATCCGATGAAGAGGACCAGTCAGATGCAGACGACTACCGTCGTGTGAAGAAGGCTTCTGCTCTTCTACCCAGCAGCAAGACCTCACACAAATCTTCCTCTGGCGCTGTACCATCTCGCTCCAAACGTGCGCCAGACAAAGCCGAGGGGGACTACGACCAGGTCCGACCAATCAAAAAGAAGACCAATCGAGACACCACCTCAGATGTCGAAGAAGAAGAGCAACCAGCCTCTACTCTCTCCGAAGAACTCCTTCTTGAGCGTAAAGCATACGACGAATGGGTGGACAAGAAACTCAATAAGCTCGTTTCAAAACGCGAGCAGATGCTCGAAGAGCGCGTTGACAGTCTTCGCACCGAAAGGGATGAGATTCAGTCTCAATACGACGAGCTGAGACAACTAAGGAATACAGCTCCAGAACAAGCATTGGAAGAGTTCAAAAAGGCTGCCGAAGCGAGGTATAGGCATGATAAAGACCTCATCGCTTCACTGAAGGTTAAGGTGGAAGCGGCAGAGAGGAGGACAAAAGAGCCCGAGAGCGGTGATAGGAGTATGAGCATCCTCAATGCTAGTGTTAGGGAAAGTGTGGCACCTGAACCATCCGATCGGTTGGAGGAGATGGAGAAACAACATAAGAAGGAACTCGCAGAAGCACAGCGCGTCCAAAAGAGACTAGAGGAAGATGTGCGCAATTACAAGTTGCAGCTGGAGCAGGAAATTGCTCAGTCAAAAGCTTTGCTCGCGGCTGCTTCTTCCTCCGCTCCCACTTCCACCGCCGCTAAACCGGCAAAGAGCACCACCGAATCCACCGCCGCCTCAACGTCTTTAGCAGCAATGGAAGACGAGAAAGCGGTCCGCAAACTCTACGAAGACTTGACCGGCTTAGTCGTTACCGGTGTCGAACGCATCTCTCCCTCTGAACCCTACCGAAGATTCAAAGCGATCTTTGCACAGGAAGACTACTATTCGATCCTCATGGATTTGGAAGAGAGTTCGTCGAAGGTCAGCGGGGCAAGTGGTAACGGAAAGGAAGGGTCGAGGGACGACATTGTCTATGTGCCAAAGATCGATGAGGATAGGGACAGCGAGTTATTAGACAGCGATATGGTTCCGCAGGAATGGTTGGATGCGCTGAGGTTTGATAGGAATATGTTGTTCAAGTGGTACGAGAAGACGAGGAAGGCATTGTTGACAGATGAGGCAAGGTTGAAGTTGAGGGCTAGGGAAGAACGAAATCGACACTAAACCCGCAGCACTCTAAAGTGAGGCACGTTGTATATTAATGTTACTAAGAGTAGTCACGCGAGAAATAGTCACATCATACCCTTTCAGACATGATTCGGATCTATAATACATCCAAGAAGTTAGAGAGATCGCGCATTAGACAGGAGAAGGCCTAGTCTCGGGATCAGTCGTCTTTGTAACCCTAAACACATCGCCCACTTTCACCACCCCTTGCTTCTCCCTCGGAACACTGAGCATTCCGAAACAAGGCTTGCCCTTCTTCGCAGCTACCGGATCCACCTGTCTGTACTCTTGCAACACCCTGTAAGGCAAAATATTGTCTCTGACACCTGTTTCAGGGTCAATGTTGGGAACCATACATCTAGCACATTTGGCAAGCATGTAGATCCCTGCCCTTCCCTTTCCTTCTGCTTCTGCACCCAGCGGTAGCTCTGAGGGGGAAGAGGAGGAGTCGAAGAACTCTGCTGCTGTCCAGGCGTCTTCCTCCCAAGGAGTGAGTTTTGTGTCGGAGGAGGGGGCGTTGTCGACGATGATGTTGGGTCTAAACCGGGTAATGGGGAGGGATGAGAGTTCTTCAGGGGTCCAGTATTCACGGTTTACTGAAGCTGGGACTTTTACCTCCCTACCCTTCTCCTCTCCCTCCGAGGAGCTGGAGAGTTGAGGGTAGACAGAAGCAGTCAATGTCCTCTGTACATCTCTCAGACTCTCTGCTGAAGCCAACAAGCAGGGATAGAAATCTTGGTACCTTAGTACCGCATCCTTCCACTCTACCTTTCCATCCGGATCCGTCGGTCCACTCTCTCTTGCACTTGGACCTTTTCTCACCAGCCTTACTTCCTTCCCAAAGTACACCGACAACTTCTCATCAGCTTCCTTTGACACCGCATATCCATCAACATACACGCCCCAGATATAAATCCCTTCTACCACTTCATACCCCTTCACCTCCTCCTCACTCGGTTGCAACGCCACTTCCACCTTCGACGCTGGCGTACCCGTCTCCGACTGTGGAATCTCAATAGAGAGCGTATTGCTTTCATGCTGGATTTTAGGATGGATGAGGACCATCTTGGAAAGTTCTCGAGCAGTGTAGAACTTTTTAGTGGAGGCATCGATGATGAGCCATGTTCGATCGTACTGCAGACCTTGATGGTCGAAGGGCGCTTCAGTGACGGATGTGCCTCGGCATGACTTGATAGGATGGATGAGAATTTGGGATACAACGATGTCTTTGGTGAGTGACTGGGTGTGGTTGGCGGAGTTGTGGGAAGAAGCGGTGTCGGAGGATGTGACGAGAGCGCTTTGGAGCATGTCAGAGGTGGAGTCGAGGAATGCTTTTCCTGCTCGGGTGATTGCTTCCATTTTGGGCGATGATGCACTAGAACTGCGATGGTTATGGAGGGATTGAGGGACTTATGCTAGCCTCGAAAAGGTTGGGCTAGCTTGAGATGGTGGAGAGAAGGAGGAGGAGGAGAAGGTGTGGAGGAGTCGAGGCAACCTGAAGTCTCTGCTGCTCAGTCCGTGCGCTGCGATTAAGGCAACATCTCCAGTGTAATTCTTTCTGGCGAGAATTTGGTCGCTCAATTCTTCTCATTTTACACAGTTTACCAACTCAACCTTCCACCTTTTCGACCCTTCACAACTGCCACTGGTCCCATCGTGACGATGTCATCGACGCCTCGACACCACCCATCATGGTGAGCGAGCTCAACAAATCCAGGTTGACGAACGATGAACAACTTCGCATTTTCGTCACAGTCGGCACTACCCGATTCGACTCTCTAATCCGTGCCGTTCTCTCACAACCCTTCCTCGACAGCATCGCTCACCTCTCATCGACATCGCCCAAAGTAGTACTGCAATATGGTAACTCATCAATAGCCGACATTCTCATTTCCTCTGCGCTAGCATCAGTCGACAGCGGCAGCGAGATCGTCCCCGAGCCAGGTCTGCGAATCATCGACGGTCGACGAGTCTATCAAAGCAGTGCTGCTATTCCTGGTCTGGACCCTGGTCAAACTGGCACTATCCCTGGTCTTCGACTTCGACCTTCCGCGGCCTCTTCTACATCAACCAGCAACGACGCAGACACGGAAAGCGCAGGCAAAGGCTTATTTGATCGAATCATCGAAGAAGCACAAGCGACGTCAGGCAACACTACCGCGACAATTAACTCTGCTATGCAAGGCGCGACACTAGAAGCGACCACAGAGCAGGGCGTCGAGTTGGAGCTATTCCAGTTTGCACCAGATCTCAAGCCATATATCGGTACAGCTGATGTTGTTGTTAGTCATGCTGGATCAGGTACGATCTTGGACACATTGAGGATGCGGCCAAAGCCGCCAAAGTTGGTGGTTGTACCAAATACGAGCTTGATGGACAACCATCAGGTGGAGTTAGCGGAAGCACTGGGCAAAGAGAGGTTCCTGGTTGTGGGGAAAGAGGAGACGCTGGCACAAGATGTAGACAGAGCGAGAAGGGAGGAAGTGGAAGCGTTTCCCGATTTCGATCCTTCCCGATTCGCCGATATTGTTGATGATGTGATGCAAAGGTAATCACTCTCCCGATTGTACACACACTGAAGCGGCGATGCGAAGGGAGAAGCTGTGTGTCCATAAGCTGCCACGAGGAAGAGTGATGAATGCCTAGGGGCTCTCGATGAGAAGACCTGAATCGATCGCTCCAAGTGTTGGACTCGCAAAACAACAGACGTCAGCTTGTGCGAAAACAGCCCCTGAGTCCTCCAGTGCCATTTATGCAGGAAAGGGGCCTCGTGCATTTTCCTTTCGTTCAGTGAAGCTCTACTCGTTCCACATTTAGCTGCAAACACAACACTTGGTTTGGGTGTGTGTATGACATGGCACATCACTGCGCCCCTGTCTTGAGTTGGCGGAAGGATTGGAACAGAGGCGAAAGAAGCCTACTTCTGGCAGTAAAGAGGTTTCAGCCCCAAATCTTGTCAGTAAGTTTTAGTGTCGGCCTCTGCTCCTTGTATCTTGCTTCTCCTGTGCTACCTATTCTACAGTCTTCTTGTGTTCGTGAATAGCTGCTCAACATAGTGACAATGAAGAGTGAAATAAGCCCAGAGTAGTTCAGCTTGCTGCGTTGAAGCACGGGCATGAGAAGGTGTGCCTGAATGAAAGCGAGCTCGGTCCTCAAGTCGAAGATGAGCCTGCCTTGAACCCGCCCTTCGATCCGAGAGAAGTAGTGTAGAGGTTACACAAGGCTGCATACTCTCCCATCCATTCCCCGCTCCCCCACCTAGCTTGCATATTCCGCTTCCTGCTCCAACTTCTATCCCCCCGTCCTCACCATCATCATCTTGCCTTCTGACCATACACATCCGATGAGCCTCCTCGAACCGGATCTTTGGTTCCGAGACGTATGGCACATCAATCTTCCGCCTTCGACGCCGCCACAAACACATTTAGCATCTGCAAACTCAGCAGCGCCGTCCGTAAGGGCGCAAGTTCGTGCTGGGTTGGAAATTGGTTGTCAGGATCCACAGTTGGTGTCATCCGCCCGTTCCTTCAGCCCGCGGAGCGTTGCAGCCCACTTTCCCTCTCGAGGTTCCTGTGACAAGAGGTAAGTTTCTTCGATGGTCGCAAAGTGGTGTCACCTCTTCTTATCTTGTCTTGCCAAAGATTCAAAGGCCCTCCATCTGTGAATCGGGCTTGTTTGCTTCCAGGAACGTGGCTTGAACATTGTCTTTGTCGTCGACCTCGTTCTGTCTTTCTTACACCATCTCTTCTTCTTCTTCTTCTTCTTCTTCTATCTCTGTGATGACATGCCACACTATCAGTCAAACAACGTTCTCTCACGAAGCCCTTTTCGGGTGCACGGGCTGAGCCCGTCAGCACAACTTGAGCTGGTCTCAAACTTCCCGTTCGATCAACACGCATGGCCACCCTCCCACAACAGGCTCCAGGGCCAGGTCCAACCGACCAGGCCCTGCCTTCATATCTCTCGTACTCACCGGTCGCGACAAATGTCATCACCTACACCTCGACCATCACTCAAGTGGTGTATGATCCGCAAGGCGGCTTTGCACCCTTTCAGACACTCGGTACTATCCAAGAGGTGACGACAAGTGTCACGTACTCGGTGGTGAATGTGCCTTTGCTGTATACGGGGCCATTTCCTGCTCCGGATTTGGGGACACTGTATACTACTCCGGGACAGGCGCTTCCTTCTGCTACGCCGACAGCGACTGAGAGCAATGGCGTGGCGCCGACTGCAACCGCAACAGCAGGCGAGAGTAATGGAGGAAGTGCAGATGGAGGAGGGGCAACACAGACAGCTGCACCCATACCTGCAGCAACGACACCTGCAGCACCGACAGATACTGCTGCAACAGCAGGAGGGACAGCCGCTGGCACACAGGACGGATCAGTGACTGCAGAGTCAGCACCTTCAACAGCACCAACAGCAACAGCTACTTCTCCACCTACCACAGACACCGCTAACCCTACTGCCGCACCGACAACTCCGCCAACATCAACAGTTCCTACCGGTAGCTCCAACATCACCACCAATCCAGCTTCTTCCCTCCCCACATCATCCGCTACTCGCAGCAACGCCTCCACCAACAACCCCTCAGCGACAGTAGCTGGCGCACCCAACAACCCCAACAATCCCCAAAATTTAGCCTCCAACGGCCTTTCCGGCGGCCAAATAGCAGGCATAGTCCTCGGCTCATTCTTCGCTCTTCTCCTACTCCTTCTCCTACTCCTCTGCTGTCTCCGTCGAAGACGAAAGCATAAGCAACAAGCAGCCGTGCTCTCCGCAGCCACCGGTGGAACTGGACCAGCCTTCGCAGCCAACAACCGCGGGAATAATGCACGGGGCAACTATGCAGCCATTGGCACCGGTGCTGCCGCAGGTACTGCTGATGCGCGACGACCAAGTCTATCAGGCAGCGATGACTGGGAAGAAGATCATCTCACCGGTGGTGGTTCTGGATCCGGATTCTTCGTTGTCGGAGGTCGTCGACTTGGACCTGATCGTCGTGCAAGCATTGCTTCTCGTCGCTCCCAGCGAAATTTTACTGCTGGAAATGTGGCTTCTTCCACCCCTACCTCCAGTGGTCAAGGAGGGGGATTCGCGGGGTTCTTTGCCGCCGCTCTGGGTCGAAATAAAAATAAAAGCAGGGTCGAGATTGAAGAAGAACAGCAACCGCTCAGTGACGATGAGGTAGGGGATGGAAGTATGGCTGAGCGAAGGGGTTTGATGAATCCCCATGACTCGCCAGGTGGGCGGAGTGGGTATGGGTCGGGACAGGAGATGAGAGAGACGGGTAGAGCTGAAGTTGTCGGTCCGGCTGCTGCTTTACTTGCTGCTAGTGGTGGAGCTGCTGCGTATGGAGCAAGTAGGGATGGAAGAGGGTCGAGAAGCGGATCGGAAGCTCTTTCTAGTTCGGCAGCGACAAATAGCTCGCATACCCAAAAAGCAAGACAGGGGGTGAGCAGTAGTAATAGTACCGGCGGGTTCACGTCTAGTGGTGGCAGTGGGACAAATACAAGTCTGCCACCTCCTCCAAGGGCGCCTCGCTCTTCACCGCAGCAACCGCTGACAACGTACAACAACGTCGACGCAGGTTCGGCGGAGACTACAAATCCGCGCTTTTCGGCAACGACAATGGGCAGCACTTTAACCGGCACGGGTGTGGGAGGAGGAGTCAACCCTGCACTCATGGGCTTGGGTGCAGGTGCAGCTCTCGGCGGGCTAGGCGCGCTTGCAGCTGGCCATCGAGAGAGCGAAGGAAGCTCTTACTCCCGCCATCGGGGAGCTCAGGATATCAGAGCTTCGCACGTGAGCGAGATGTCAGCTGATGAGTTGCGACATCTACGCTCGACCGATCCGGAGAGGTACAGCCGTTTCATTTCCTCCGGCTCGAACCTGTTGGGTCCCGACTACCAGCCTTCGCCAGACCCAGAAGCTGATGCAAAGGAGCTTGATGATGCTAACGCAGCAGTGGGAACGATGAGCGGTGGCGGATCGACGTTCCAGCGCACCCGTTTGCCTACCATTCGAAGCGTTGGAGAGTTCGGTGAAAAATCCGACTCCCCCGGCACTACACGCTATAATCAGAGCTCTGGAAACCGCACCACTCATTTATCCTCGATGCACGCGTTCAGCGTCAACTCTGGCTCCATTGGTGCAGCTTCTGCTGGGTCTCGAGGCAATATTGTTTCGCCTCTTCCCCAATACGAAGCACAACAGCTCCAAGCCGGTGAAGCACTCCCCCATTACACCTACCATGACCAACCCCGCGCAACAGCAGAAGAGGAACAGATTCAAAGTCCAATCTCAGAAGGTGCTGATCGATTTGTCACCCCTCCTGCCTCGCCACGCAATACTCTTGGCGGTGTTGACAAATCCAGCTTTGACGATCCCACACAACGATACGATGCCCCAGAAGGACAGGACCGGGGAGCTGAACTCGAGGAAGGCGGAGTAGCAAGTGCAGGCATCCTCGGCGGAGTCGCAGCAGGATGGCGACGCTTGACGATGGGTCAATACGCATGGGTTCCAGACACTTCTTGTCCTTCTCGTAACGCTGAACATCAGCAATCCGGCTTTTATCGAGACTCATCCGGCGAGCTAGGCGCTGATCCTGAAGGTAGGAGTAGTCACGATCAACAACCTTCCGAAGACTCCAGCCGACTCATTCACCACAACAGGAGAGCGTCGAGACTCGAGACAAGCGAAACAGGGTTAGCGTCTAGCGTGAGGAGCGAAAGAGCGAGCGTGTATGGTCCATCGGCACTTGAACATGCTACGAATACTAGTAGGAGCTCTCCGGTGGCTCATTTGAGCTCGAAGGAGGGATCTGGAAGTTCCGGCGAGCAACGACAACAACAGCGGCAGCGGGGATCAAGTGAATCCGGCGCTGCAGTGGGCGCGCGATCTCATCCCTCTTTATCGAGTCAAAACTCACCTTCAACCGCAGGAGGGTACGCAGCTTCACAATCGAACTCCTCTCTCAGTGGTCGACGAACTATCGCAAGCGAAAGCAGCGGGCTGGACAGCCTCAGTGCAGTTGCTCAACTCAGTTCTAGGAGCACAGGCAGTGCTTCCACACGCTCAGGATATCGATCGAGCAGCCGTAGCAGAGGTAGCAGTAGAGGCGGTAGAGGGAGAAGATCGGGTGGGCTGAGCAGTGAAGCGAGTATGGGAAGTGGTGCGTCGACAGGTGCTGCGAGCTACAGTCCTAGTGGAGTGCTCAGTCGTGGCAACACTACCAGCACACGCGGCCTCGGTGCTGGCGAGGAATCTGGACCCACGGGTAGGGCTGTATACTTCCCCTCCGGTGCTACTGGAGAGTATGATGTAGGGGAAGAAGAGGAAGAAGGCGATGAGGACGAAGTAGACGTGGCCAGTGCAATCGCCACGGAAGGCGCAGGCAGTGGATCTTATGAGAGGAGAGGAAAAAGACCTCGAAGCTCGAGTGGTGATGGACTAAGTAGGCTTGATAGCTTGCTCGAGACGAGCGAGGATCCTTTTGCCGATGTTGAAGCTATGCCTACCGTTCCTCCGCCCGCAGGAGGTCACTACCCGAGCTCATCGCTCGGTGCTGCTGTCTCTCGTACTGCCGCCCGCGACGCCACCGAAAGCAACCCATCCTACCTCCAATCAAACCCTCTCCCACAACGCTCTCGCATCCGCTCACTCCAACCAGGAACTTCAGCACCTGTACCCACCGCTCTAGCACCATCGCTCTCGACCCCTTCTCTCAACTCTTCCTCAACCAGCAACCCCAACCTCCCCACCGAAACCGCACCTCAAGAAACCATGCATTCGAGAGGCAGCGGCAGCCTATCCTCGATCCCCGCTTCAGCCAGTTGGCGACCTTCCCCTCGTGCAGCCTCCGCCGTCCAACGCGCGGCTGAGGCTCAAGCAGCACTACTCGCACAACAACAACAGAGTGGACCTACTCCTCCCCGTAGTCAAACAGCGTCACCCTCGTGCGCTGGAGCTTTGTACAACTGGGCTGATTTGGACACTACTTTCCGCTCCGGACCTGGAAGTAACGGGAGACAGCCAAGTGCTGACCTTGAAGGCGCGAGAGCCGAAGGGGAAGAAGATAAGGCGAATAAGAGTTTTGAATGGCCAAAGTTCTTGCGCTTCTAAAAACGCTTCCCCATCATCAAAACGAATGAACGAACTGTATCATGTATAGCACGCGAGCTCTTTGGGCTCTTGGAACAATTACTTCCCCCTTCCCCCATCCCCGTCCGAACGGTCTTGTCAAATTCTTCTTTTCACGTACACTCCTCTGCTCCAGGATCCCTGACCTTTGTATCAAGCTGACGAACTCCGTAACGATTCTCTCTCATTTGCTCTGTTTATGCAATGTCAATGTCAACGTTCACACTTGGTCTTCTTGGTCAATTGTGATGTCTTGAGATTAGCAGTCCGTGCAAGTGATGGAGGAAGTGGTGGAGAGGATGCACTGGGATTCTCCGATGGGAAATGGCTTGCGGACGGAAAGATTTCAATCGAAGACACAGCGGGGACGCGAGACAGTATCGCACCCTTGTGCGGGGTCAAGCTCTTGATGCTTGCTTGCCAACAAGACCTTGACTCTAACTTCACCTCGTGAAGGTAGCCAGGAAGGTGTCGCCTTGACCCAAAGCAAAGGCTGGAAAAAGAAAGGCTCGAAACCCAATTGGGAAGCAAAAGTTTGTGATCAGGCTCGCCTACGGTGGAAGATGGTCGGCAGCTTAGATTTTGCCCGGCACATCCTCGCTTCCACGCTAAGCTGTTATGATGTCGAATACAATGCACATTGAAACGAAGCAACTTGTGCATACTCATCCGTTGGGTCGTGTTCATCGCAATCTTCGGCTGGAGAAACTCGATGCGAAACTTACTTTACTTGTCATGCGCTGAGCTCTCGTTGGCTCGTCACAGATGAACACGCCTTCAAAGTCTTCACGCGCATCGAGCCGTAATCGAATGCTCATCCGGCCCGTGTCCGGAGGTTTGATCTTCTTACGAGCCCGGACGCAAAGCTGCTTTCGCTGGAGCAGCACCTCCCTGTTCTAGATCGAGAACGCTGCCCAAGCTACCTATTCCTGCGGGAACGTTAGCACGAAGGAGGATGGTGGGCGCGTAAAGAGGCGCTAATAAGATGCAAGCTGCACAGAATACCCTACAGTACATGACACTGTGTGCCATCTGCAAGCATGGAATTCTAGGGTGCTCTCTGCTGCGATGCAAGCTGTATGATACATGTGGTGAGGTTGTTCAACTGGTACTTCTTGCAGCTTGAGTACAGGCTGGAGCCGAGCTTGCGTAAATGAGGAGCTAGCTTCTACCGACGAAGAAGCCGCAATCTCTAGAGTGATTGCGGGCTGCAGGGCAAAGGGCAGAGGCAGAGGATGAAGGGGCATGAACCCATGGACATTAGGCCAAGCATTGTCAAGCTGGCGAAAACAAGCTCGCTTTCCGCAGGTTGACATCCAGTGACCAAAAGCATCGACACAAGTGTAAGCACCTCCCATCAAAAGCTCAGTCTCTCTCACACCGATGGCGGGAGAGAGGATGCGACGCCAACCCACTCAACGCGGCGGCTCCGTCGGTCGAAGCTCACCAACAGGAACTCAACTTGGACGGGCGCGCCAAAAACGAAGACCAAATGAAGAACATGTCTCTGATGGTCGCTTAGGGCCATCTCCTCTGTGCGAATTCACGATCCTAGCCTCGCCTGTGTATACAAAGTATAGAAGCGGAGTTAGTCGTTGAAAGAGGCTAACGATGACGGCGGCGGCACTTGACGAGCAACCGAAAAAAAGAAGCGGGAAAATCTAAACGAAATCGAGATTTTTCACAGCGCTGAAAAAGGAACGGAAAATTGGGCAATATACGCGGAGAAAGCTGAGAAAATTGACGGAAGCGCAGTGGGGCAGTCAAAGTGGAGTGCCGTCATCGCACCATTTGCTTCGATGAAAGCAGTCCTGCAAGGCAGAAAAAGAGGGTGTACCTCCTCGATGCTAGCGAGACTGAGACTGCAAGCTGAAGCTAACTTAGCATGCTTTGCACCTTGCTCATCGCTTTGCTGAAGGTCGTGAGAGCGATCTAAGGGACAGCTGCTCGCTTATTTTGCTAGTTAGATCAGATCAGATCCTGCCGGTTCCTCTTGCCCTCCCTCATTTGATGCTTCGCACTGAGCGTCCACGGTACCCACATTGAAATCGGACAAAGAAGTGTCTGCAGTAAGGCGTAACAACAGCAGTGGGCCTTCCGCTGCTTGATATCAAGTTTTGCAACCCCTCCCTTCGGTCGAATGACGAACACTGTGGTTGTGCGTCAACGATGTCTGTCCGCCTGGACATCGTAAGACACTACAAGCCAAGCTTGAGTCCCGAGCCCTTGAAGCGCTGGGCATCTTTAGACATATATACCTTGATCTTCAGGCAAGGGTAACCCGTGTTCCCTGTAACCCGACTCTTTGCTACTCTACCTTGCCCAACACTCAACAGCCTAAGCTCCCTACACTCTCATATCTAACAAACACACTCTAGCTAGCATGATCGCTTCCGCCGTCCGCTTCTCCGCTGCTCTTGCTCGCCAGCCCGCCGTCGCTGGCCTTGCTTCTGCCGCTACCTCTGCTGGTCTCAAGACCTCTGCGGCTCCATCCATGGCTGCCTCTACCACACTCCGAAACCTTGACGGTCGTTTGTGGTCCAAGAACAGGCTCCAGGTTGTTCTCGACGCCTCTGCGCCAGCCCCTGTTGCCAAGGAGCCCAACTGGGCCAACGTCTCTGCTCGCATTCGTGATGCCAAGGAGCTTGCCGGCTGCTAGGCTTTTCTAAGCTGGTTTCCAAAGCAGGAAACCCGTTCCCCGTCGTCTGCCTCTTATGTTTAGGATCTCGCTCGCATTCGCAATGAGCCTGCTTTGAAAGGCTCCGCATTGTATTTGTACCTCTATTTTTCCTTCTTTTGCTGTGTGTAATCAAAAAACGCTACCTTGCTTGCTACAGCAGCGAGGAGCTCATCAGAACACTAGAACTGAATCGTGTGATCGGGCCGAGCCAAATGAGCTAGTTCTTCCCGATCGTCTAGGGCGGATAGTCACGGTCCATCTCACAACTCCCGAACTCCTTGAAGGGACGGAACCAGTTTCAAGCCTTCCCCGCACTCGAGGGTCCTCTTCCATGTGTCAGATAAAGGCCCGGGGTACAGTAACCCCAATCATGCCGTAGAGCAAGTTAGGTGTTGCTGATCGTAGGTATCAGGCAGCTGTCAAACATCGTTCATCGGCAGCGAGCCAAGAAGTGTCAAAGAAGAAAGTCATCCGTTGATACGGCCGATAACCGAGTCGTATCCTCCACTTTCCTTCCTTCCGCCATCTTCTGAAAGGGGCGAAAACCAAAATTAGGCCTAACATCGATTAGGTGAAGTAAAAGGAAGGTGACTGCGCAGCTGTGTTTGATTTCGATTTGACTTGACTTGGGATTTTGAGTTCGAAAGGAGTTAAGAATTTTCAAACCTTGGCTGCGCAGTTTCCTATTCGTCCCAACCAAAAGTCCCTTTGAAATATTACCAACAACGTCTTTCCAAAATAGACGCCAGCTTGTAGCCAAGAGATCGAGAGAAGGTGAGAGAGAGGCGAAAGCAACACACACTCAGCCCGGAGTGGAGAGAGAGAGAGAGAGAGAGAGAGAGAGAGAGAGAGAGTGTGTGTGTGTGTGTCTCCGCTCAGTAGCTCAGGCAGGCAAGTGAATGTGTCTTTCTCGATGGAGTGTCAGAGTCCACATCGTCTGGTCGCGACACATTCACAGTTGTGATTGCACTTTCCATCTCTTATCCCTTCTCCACCATCATCAACAACAGCGTTCAGCACCGTCAGCATCACAGCTTTTGCATTCTTCGACCGCATTTTCTATCAGACTCACGCACTCGAGTCCGATTTATCGTCAATCCTATAACCCTCTCGATTAAGGACCACCCAGCCGGATAGGCACATATATTAGCAGTAAGTTTTCATTCTCGGCACTCAACGATGACATGGATTATCCGCAAACGACATCTAAGGACGGAATGGAGCATATAGGACCGCATCGTACGCTTGAAGCTGCGGAAGAGCCTCTCCACCGACAGGTCCTGCATTCCGTCAGCAGCGATCATTATCGGCCCCACCTTGGTTTGGTTCAATGATGTTGTGGTGCTGTTGGACAGGACACGCCTAGAGTAGGACGCAAACATGCTTGGAAAGGCTCAGCTGACCCTTCTGAAGGGTGACTCCAGGACAAATTGCCACTCCGAAGATCAACCCTGAACCTGAGACGGCATGGCAACTCGAAGAATCACAGCGATTGAGTTATAACAGCGATAAACCTCTTAACACAGCTTCGCCGTATCTATCGTCGACGACGTGGGATGTTTCTGCCGTCTGTAACGCACTTAATCGAATTCGAAGAGCAACTACTAACATCTTGATCCCTGCTGCATTTTTCGATCATCTCCCTCCAACTCGCTCCGTGCATTACTGTCACTGCCACTGTTCTCGATAAATTCGTCCTTCCGCACATCTGCTCGATCTGTTCGTCCATATCATTCACTCTGACCTTGGCTCTGCACGACAACAGAAAATGGCGATGAAGAGAATTAACAAGGAGCTCGCCGATCTTGGCCGTGATCCTCCCTCCTCCTGCTCTGCCGGTCCTACTGGCGACAACATGTTCCAATGGCAAGCCACAATCATGGGCCCCGGTGACTCCCCTTACGCCGGTGGTGTCTTCTTCCTTTCCATCACTTTCCCCACCGACTACCCTTTCAAGCCACCCAAGGTCTCGTTCTCCACCAAGATCTACCACCCCAACATCAACAGCAACGGCAGCATCTGCCTCGACATTCTCAGGGATCAGTGGTCTCCTGCGCTTACCATCTCCAAGGTTTTGCTCTCGATCTGCTCCATGCTCACCGACCCAAATCCCGATGATCCGCTCGTGCCCGAGATTGCCAACTTATACAAGACCGATCGTCAGCGATACGAGAGCACTGCTCGTGAATGGACCAGGAAGTGAGTTCGAACCTTTTCTGCCGGTGTCTTGAAACCGATTTCTTTCATACTGACTTTCTTCTTCTCTTGTTCTGTCTGCTTTGACTCCCGTTCGCTACACTGTGCTCGTTTCCTCTCGACTACCTCTTGCAACACAAAAGATACGCTATGTAAAGTTGTAATCGGCAACGACAAAGCAGATTTTCTCAACTCCAACATCACGTTCCAACTTGCATCATGGCCTCTATCATATGACTGTGTGCGTTTGAAGCATGCCCCCCTCGCAATTCAATCATGCAACAAAATCCAAAGACGCCTTTGCTTCTGGACTCGGGCTGTGCTTGTTTGCAGCTAGAGATCTGCACGGGCGACAGCAAGGAAGGGTCTGCCTTGATGTAGACCCTCGTTGTGCTGCTTCTGAGACCGGCTTGACTGTGTACCTGCATCGCTGTAACTGTCGAGGGCCCCGCATGGTTGCTTTGCCGAAGCGAGACTTCTTCTCCGCGGAAGAATAAGCTTCAACTGTGTAGCCAAAAGCCTGCCGATGCCATCAGGTCTGGTGCAAGGCTTTTTCAGTCCCATTAATAGACATCTGCATCGTTGCACATTCCTCTGCACAAAGGATGGATGGTGATGGAGACCGACTGAGGAAGAGTGCGAATGCAATGGCAAGAAGGTGAGTGTGAGTCGGCGGCTCATTGAAAGATGAATCGGCTCCGAAATTAGTTAGCGCTAGTCGCGCATACAAGGGCAATCCTCAATTTCGAGGTTTTCGAGAACTGAGCTTTCCTACGATCCTTCTTGCCTCCGGTCTTCTCATCCATCCATCCGTACATTCATCCTACACCTTTCATCACCCATTTCGCAAAGCTCGTTGCTTCTCGAACATACACAGTAGTGCGAGATAGACAGCTTCGATACCCCGGCAAATCAAGCCAACCAATCAGCGACATTCAGCAACAAGACGAGCTCTAGCTTCTCTTTTTACACAGCAGCCGCGTTCGTCACATCACTTTGACCCTTTCCACTCAGTCCTTCTGGCATGATTGTAGCTGTATGAATCCGATAATCACATCTTTGTGGCAGTAGGATGGACGCCAGAGGCTCGAGCTCAGCTCCCGACAATCTAGCAGGTTCAGCGTCGACTTCTGCAGGCAGCGACGGGGCCAAGTCTTCAATAGCCAAAGACACCGCCAAGATGACTGATCCAAGGCGACACGAGGACGACGATGAAGAGGAGGAAGGAATGCTCAAGGTCGACGAAGAAGGCCAGATTGAAGATGACAGCGCCAATCAAAAGGTGAGCCATCCTCGTCCGAGCAATGAAGGGCGTTCGATTCCCCTTGCTAACCGTCTCATGCCGCTTCCGGTTGCATCTCCAAAGAAGGCTGGTAGTGAATCGACAAGCAATAACATCACCGCCAACAACAACAACAACAACAACAACAACAACAACAACAGCAACAACAACAACAACAATGGCTACGTATCACCTCGACACGCCAATTTAGACCGAGAGCGAGAACGCGACCGCGATCGATTCATTGAGACTTCGCCTGGCCCCTCTTCGGCTTCCTCTTATGCACCATCATCACGTTCGAGGTTTGGATACCCATCCGATGCATCAGCTCCGTACGGCTCATCGACAGCATATCCATATCCACCAAGTCATCGTGAGCCTCTTCGAACGGAGCCGCCTTTCGCATCAGGCTCAAGAACCAGTTTCAGCGGGCCTGCACCTCGAGGAGAGAACAGGAGAGGTTGGTATCCGCCATCCACACCGACGACTCGAGGTCCCGACACATACAGACCAGGTGCTATCCGCGAGCGCGAACGAGAGCGAGAAAGAGACTGGGACTCTTTCCGGGATGGAGACAGGGACAGGGAGTGGACGGGAGTGGATAGGGATCGCGAGAGAGATTCATACCGTGACGTCGTAGACAAGCGAAGAGACTGGCCAACGCGCGAAAGAGGCGCAGCAGCGTCCAACTACGACACTGCCGACACATATCTAGCATCTGCCCCTACCAACAGCAAATACAGCTACGACAACCGCGACTTCCCTGCTCGTCGACCTTCATCACCGCCCGCGCACCTGGCTAGAGGCCGGGAATTCGATGCAGATCGATCGAGAGATAGAGACTGCGATCGTCCAGTCGAGCGTGATCCACGTGCTCGAGCTCGCGGCTCTGGATGGAGGAGCAATGGGATGCGACAGTGGGGAAAGCCGACCGATGCAGGATGGGATTTGCGATCTGGTCGTCGTCCGGCGTCGGACGACGCACGCTCCGACACTTCGCATCGTCGGGGTGGCTCGCGATCGAACAACACGCCTCCTCCAGCGACGTCTAGTGAAGCAGGTACAAAGGCGATCGGATCTGACAATGCTTCGGAAAGAAGCGAGGCTCGAAGCAGAGATCTCTCTCCTCATCCAACACGGTCGCCTGAGCGCGGTGAACATACCGATAAGGGAGCTGAACCACCAGCTACACAACCAGATGAAAGTGTGGAGCAAGCGCAGCGTTCAGAAGCAGAGGCCAAGGAGGATCAGCAAGCCAACGCAGACTCAAAGCAGGGAGATAGGGACAACAAGGCCGAAGCTGTTTCGCAGGTTGTAGATACAGAGGTAGATCGTGTGGAGGACACTGACAAGGTCGAGTCAAAAGCAACAGACGTACCTGCAGAGCTCACACCGCAGGAGACGACTGAGCCTGTTCAATCGACCGGAAGCGAGGCCTCGACTGACCCGGAACCCGTCAAAGAGGACTCTTCAGCAGAGAAAGCATTGTCTGCTGACCGGCTTGAAAGCGCCAGTCAGGTACCTGCACCAGCAAACGAAGCAGAAACGTTTGAAGTAAAAGCTGAGGAAGAAGTTGATGCTACCAAGCCTTCAGCTGAAAAGGAAGCTCAGCCTTCCGCTCCTGCCACAGCAAAAAAAACTCCAGCTCAATTGGAGAAGTCTGCGCCCGTGCAGGAGTACACGACTTCAACAAAAGAAGTGGCTGCGGAACCATCCACGGCAGAAACAACGGCAACAGCTGATGCAGCAGAGCAAGCAGACGCAGAACCGGCACCCGCATCATCATATATATCGGAACCTGCTATAATCGCGTCGGAAGAGAAAGTGGAGGATATGGCAGCGGCATCTGTCGAGAAGGACACAGTTGCATCCTCTGCTGAAGCTCAGCTCAGCAGTACCGATCAAGTCAATGAGCTCATGCCAGCCCAGGAGCCGTCCAATGGCCAGAAGGAGGAAGCGGCGTCCTCTCAGGTTGTCGAAATAACTGGGGAGACCCCTGCTGCCGTGCCTCCTGCGGCCGCTGCGACGGAGGCGAAGCCAACAAGCGTCGAAGCAGCCTCGGCTGAAGCGTCATTGACAGAGACTGCTACCCCCGAGGCACCCATCCCGGAGAAGTCTGTTGATGCTCCAAAACCCGAAGCCTCGGAATCTAGCAACGATGTAGCTGATGTCGACATGGCAGATGCAGTACCAGAGCAGGCTCCAGCGCCACGGGGGTCGGCAGAGATGGAAGTCGATGAGCCGGCATCAGTCGCTCCTGCTGCTGATCCCGCTACATCCACGCAGGTGAACGAGGAGTCGAAGGCGTCCGAAGCGACAGAATCTGTACAGGCCAGTGAAATTGCAGAAGCGCCGGTAGCGGGTGAAACAGCTCAAGGCGCCGAGGACACGAAGCCGGTGGAGCTAGAGAAGATTGCGCCTGAGGATCCGACCGCCCAAGCTGAAGCTGAAGCGTCAGCAAAGGCAGTGCCTGGAGTACCTTCTGCGTCCGAAGCAGTGGTTGAAGTTTCTCAGTCCGTCGAAAATACCCCAGCCAACGGCATCGAGAACGCCAACGAAGGTATTGCTGCGGAGGCGTCGGAAGCTCAAGTGCAACCTATCGAGGCCAGTGTCAAAATGGAGAAAGACACAGCCGTGGCCAGTGCTGAGGCGGCGAAGGAGCCGGTCGAGGCAGGACCCATCGAGAAGCCTGCCGAGAAGCTCGAGCCCGGGCATCAGACCGATCAGCCAACGATTGCCCCTGTTGCAAAGCAAGCTTTAGCTGTCGCGACTCCTACTTCGCAGCCGCCTGCAGACAAGGCTGATGAGCCAACCAAGGCACTCTCCCAGATCCAGATCTCAGGACCTCACGTCACCGCCACAATGGACAAAGAAAACAAGACCCGCGAGATCACTCTTCCCCAGATTGACTATAGAGATGACAAGGAAGCACAAGCCCTCACGAGACAGGAAGATGCAAGGATCGAAGAGGTCGAAATGCCTGCCGACGATCAGTCAGGTCCAGCTCTTCGAATCGCAGAGATCGACGAAGCGGCCGCCAAGGAGATCGAGCCGCCACTCATTACGCCGAGAACAAAGGAGCAGATGGATCATGCAATCCACGCCGCCGTACTCAAGCACATTGCGGATGGCTCCGACAGGCTTGACGACTGGCAGAGGATCCTGCGCGAGAACCAACGCATTTCACAGAACACGACGATGAACGTGCTCAAGACTAAAATTCACGGCATTCCTCAGAGTGTCAGCTCAGGCAAGCCGTTGTGGCTCGACCAGGAAGATGAGGAGACACAACGGACCAAGGCTCAGCTGTTCGACCAGCTTACCGAGCGCAAGAAGCGTCTCAATGGGAAGGTGGAAAGTCTCAAGAAGCGATACCGCAGCATCAACGAGGAGTGGAAAGTGCATTGCTCTCGCCTTGACCGCATCGCCGAACGACGCGAGCTGTTACGCCGACCTCCTGTCAACACGCCAGCCGGCACACCAGGCGCTTTTGGTGGTGAAGATCCTTCAACAGGTGCAGGTGGTGGTGGAATGCTTGGAGCCTCACTTTCTACAGGCCGAGCCAACCGTCGACGGGAACAGGCTGGTTTCGCCGGCTTTGGTGATGCAGTCCGTTCCGAAGCTGAGTTCCTCGAGATCCTGGCCAGTCTGGAGAACGCCGACATGCAAGACCCCAACATGCGTGCCGCTCGCACGACCGCAACCGCACCAGACATGTTCATCGACCCTGACTCGGACCACCTCATGAAGCTTCGCTACGATGATGTTAATGGCTACGTTGCCGATCCGCTTGCATTCTACCTCGACGAGTTCGATCCAGACCTATGGTCCGAGGAGGAAAAGGCCATCTTTGCCCGTCGCTACGCCTTGTGGCCAAAGCAGTTTGGCAAGATCGCTCAGGCTTTGCCGCACAAGACGCCAGCCCAATGCGTGCGTTACTATTACCTCAACAAGAAGCTGCCCGGAAACAACTTCAAGGCGCTCGCAGCGGTTAGGAACAGGGAGAGGAAGCGGAAGACTCGGGTCAAGCCCAAGAAAGCCAAGGGTAGCGCTCTTATGGCTGACCTGAAGTCTGCCAAGGGAGAAGAGATGGACGATGTGGAAGATGGATCTGGGGTCCGATCACCGATGGATTCTACGGATCCTTCGCTTGCGGATGCGCCGACACCAACCAACGGACGCGGAAGGGGACGCGCCCGCATGGTCCCACCAGTGTCCGATGGCGTTGCGGAAGAGCAGACGGCCGGACGCAAGCGCACGGCTGACCAGACCGATGCCGAAGGCAACAGCACGGATGCAAAGGCAGAAAAGCGCAAGTCTGGACCCAAGTCAAAGCGAGCCAAATCCGACAGCGCCAGTGCGACCGACAAGGCACGCAAACCGCGAGCCAGCTTCAAGAAGGACAGTGCAGCAGTTGATGACGGCAAAACGGCGGGAGTACCTCCTGTTCCGGCCGTTCCTGGATCCGGACCCAAGCTCGAGGCTTCAGACGCGTCTGTATCAGCTAGTGTTGCTGGCAACGATAGGGCTGTTGCACCCACAGCAGCCAAGGTGGGAGTGGAAGATAGCGATTTGGCTGCTGCTGAAGCTCTTGGTGCACTTGCAGGCATGTTCGGTGGGCCAGCCGCAGGTGATGCTCAGCCATCAGCGGGCTCCGATGCCGCCAATATTGGTGATTTGAGCGGCGACGGTCGCAAGACGGGCAAGAAGCGCCGCAGCAAGACAGCCGCAGCTGGTGAAGAAGGTGCCGATGGATCAGGCAAAGGACGGGGCAAGCAGCCCACCTCATCGTACTGGTCCGTTGCCGAGCGTTGCGAGTTCCTCCGTGCGCTTGTCGTGCATGGCCCTCGATGGGAGATGGTCTCTTCGACCCTGGCTCAGAAGTCGGCGGCTCAGGCACGCAACTACTTTGCACGCAACGAGGACGAGATTGACTTTGCCGAAGCAGCAGCATTGTCTCGCAGTCATGCTGATCTTTCGCTTGCTGAGCGTGAGGCGGCCGCGTTGGCTTTCGTCCGCAATCGATTTGCAAGCAATAGCACAGGTACAGGAGTACTGCCTGCTTCATCGTCTGGAGGTGCTCTGCCTTCTATGGTGGGTCAAGTACCTGGCTATACTGACGGACCTGCTGGGCCTCGCACCACTCACCTGCCACCTCCACCTGGCATCTCCGCCAGCCAAGCTTACATGGTCGATGTCAAGATGCGAGAAGAGTCTCCAGAGCCACAGATCCAGCGACGAGGGTTGCAGATCAACTCACTGCTCAACGACAGCAACGACGCAGCCAGCAGCAGGATGAAAAGGCGCTCGTCGTTGCATGAGTTACAAGGAGAAAGGGAAGATGCACAGCATATGGGTCTGGGCCGGGATGCGTCTGTACCACCAGCACTCGGTGCTAGACAAGTGTTCGATCTCGACCGAAGTCCACTCACTACAGGACGACTCGAGGCAGGTCGGCCTCTCAGCTCGGACGGTCGATCCATGCGCGACGACCGCGATGAGCGAGCCAGGCTGTACGAGAGGATGGAGACGCAGCACAGGGTCGGTGAAGATGTTCGACAGATGCGAGATGAAGGACAAGTCGATTCACGGTCTTGGATGTACGACTCGCCGTACGAAGCTCATCGTCGACCTTCGCCTCAGCCTGGCTATGGATCGATGGCGCCGCCCTCGCATCCAGCAGAGCGAGGTATGTCAGCGTCGAGGTACTCGATGCCACCCAGCAGCGTCGCTAGTGCTGGTCATCTGGGAAGATCAATGCCTCCCATGTCGAGCCACTTGCATCACAGTGAGGAGAGCGAGTTGGATCGAGAACGCGAGCGTGAACGAGCGTACGGCATGTATGGGGTTGCTGGCGGGCCTGGTCGATCACGTGAGCACGAATCGCACAGCATGCCTCCTGCTGTGCCTGGCGAACTTCGACACTCTGATAGCGGCGAGCGACTCTCCCCAACCAATGTCGGCTTCGGCTCAGCACACGGGTATGGCAGATACGCCCCCCCTGGAGTCGGGAGCATCTATCCAAGCCCTTCCGCAGCTGCCCCTTCTGCTCTCGCATCGAGAAGCAGACCCACAAGCGGTCCACTCACCGCGCCTCTTCCATCAACCACCGACCGTCCAGCGTATGAGCAAAGATGTCAGCGATACTCTCAATCACCCGGGCCCTCCACCACTCCGACCAGTGCAGGTGTAGGACCAGGCGCAGGAGGATTCTCAGCAGCCAGCGCCTATCGATCGTCCAACAATCCTTACTCGAGCTTCCCTTCTCAAAGCCTGCCTCGGCCGTCATTGCCGTCGCTCTCAGCTAGTGGTGGGCCGACGGTGGGTGCTCCTCATCTGCCGTCTCTCGGTGCTGCAGGAAGGTCGTTGCCGCCTATTCTGGGGTCTTTCCCTACCCCAGGAAGAGGTATGGGTGTAGGAGCAAGGCCTGGTGCTGGAGCGGGAGCGGGGGAAGAAGCTGCTGCCAGGTATTGGCCTTACCCGCACAGGTCTCGTACTCATGATTCTCAGCCGCATGGTTCCGGGAGAACTCCTGAGTGAAAGATCTTTGTATAACATCGAGGAGAAGTGTAGCTTATTGTATTGTAGAACAATGTCACCATTAACGATTGTATAACAATGCCAAAGCTGAAGTCTCGTTAGTAGTGTGTGATATGAGCAAGCTGTGCGTGGAAGTGTGTTTGTGTTCTGAGAGGGAAAGGGGGATGCGGTTTCGTGGTGTTGCAACGCGCTTTCGCGTGCGCAAACCTCCACACCAAGAAGAAAGAAAAGTAAGGGTCCAGCTGCGCACAAAATCTCGGAAAGCGGGCCTTTCATGTTGAGTTTTGACGCACGGTTGTGGGTGGCGTCCATGCCATTCCTCCCTTCACCTTCATCACTATCGACCTCACGTACGGACGGGCTGAGTGCTTGAAAAAGGCATCATGTCGGTACGTATCATTCTCAACCGGTTGATCTGCGCGGGGGGGAGGGGAGCAAACGCTGACCCTTCCACCAACTCTTCTGTGATGGCGTTAGGCGGAGAGCAACACTCAATGGGTTACCCTTGTTAGCGAGGCAAGTTTTCAACCCTCATACCAGATTCACAGCTCCAATGGAGACTTCAACTGACGACAAGATTCTTTGGATCAATAATAGGATGGCTACCGGTTCTTAGTAGACCAAGTCACGGTGAAAGCGAGTCCAACGATCAAAACCATGCTTAGCATGGGTGAAGGCGGTGGATTTGCCGAAGCTGAATCTAATACTGCTCGTTTACAGATCAGGTACGCAACAACCCGTCTTCCTGCTCTCTTTATTTCCGAGATGGCCTTACTGACTTTGAATACTGTTGATGGAAGTAGAGGAGAAGTACTGGAGAAAGTCATCGAATACCTACACTTCAAAACAAAGTACGGCGCTGCAGCAGATCTGGACATTCCAGACTTTAAGAATAGGATCCCGCCGGAGATCGCTCTCGAGCTGTAAGTGCGACTGTTTTTCAGGATAAAAGTGAAGGAAAACCAGAGGAGTACAGAGAAGAGAATGCTGATACAATCTTGCTTCATCTCTTTCGGCGGTGCATGGGTCAGGTTGATGGCTGCTGATTTCTTGGAGTGTAAGTTGGCTCCATGCTGTGTCATGCTGTGGATGTGTTGGTAGGACGCTGACATCTCATTGTTCATTGCCTTTCGTTCTGCTTCTCCGTGATGAACAGTGTGATCTTTGTAATCCAATACCAAACCAGTGATATCACAATGACAATGCTCACGATAGAGAGTCCCTGTGAGCGCAGACGTCCGATGTTGAGGGGTACAGATTGGAACCCCGGAATGTGCTTGGAAGAGCTGCACATCAGCACCGACTTGCTTGATGCGTACGAAGCTGTGAATACGTCTCTTGAATCGGTTGAACTCGAAGTCTCGTTCTGAAATCCATTCCTCATCGAGCTACTGCGTGAAAGAGTTGCGAAAGTGTTCAAGAGCGGACAATCAACGTGCAAAGCAAAAGTTCGGGGCGAATAGAGTGATCTGAGCATGCAGATTCGAACAACGAGTGCTCGGGCACCTCCTCTCCCCGCCTGGTGGATGCACACTCACGAGCTCAAATCGCTTGTGTGGGGACCCATCTATGCTCAGTGTAGGAGCTCTCTACTTCCACTTCCAACGCGGACTATGAACGGAGCGATTTTGAACAGGGTATGGGCGGTGGACCTTTCATACACCGGATTCTAGATGGTGTGTGGGGCTTTCGCCTTCTCATGCATCAGAAACAAGCAGACGCCAACAGAAAGCCGCTTCCTTTTTGTTGTAGGGCGTGCGACAAATAGCATTGATCACAAGTATCTAGTGTGATGATGATCATGAACTAAGTACAAGATGATTCAAATGCCTATATATATCTTCCAGCATTCTGTGTATATGTATATGATACAAGGATGATGAGGCTGAAACGTAATGGGGAAAGTATGTCAGATGTCTGATAGCCAGTATGCCTCCGGCTTCCTCCGTCCATGAAGATCCATAACGTGTTCCACATTGACCGCTTGGAGCCCTATGTTGCCAACACAATCCCAAATTGGGTCCAACCACCTCCCCTGGTCGAAATTGAAGAAGATATTGAATATGAAGTCAAACAAATCCTCAACAGCAAAATTGGTCACCACTACTGTGATCTGATCTTCTACCTTATCTGCTGGGTAGAATATGGGCTTGACCACAACTCTTGGGAACCTGCCTCCAATCTCACCCATGCCAGCAACTTGATTGCTGAATTCCATACAGCCAACCCAACCTGGCCATCCCCTACTCATTGCTAGGACTGTTGTTGGGGTTTTTTTTGGGGGGGGGGGGGGGGAATACTGTCATGACCAAGTCATGACCCCTCTCATAATTACCTTAGATCTAACATTGATAATTCATTTCACTGCAAAGAGTCTTAGACTTGTCGCATCGAGTCTTGTACTTTCGATCTCATAGTTTGCTCCTTCGTTCTTCTCTTCTCTTTTCACTTAAGGAAAAGAGATCGTAAGTCACTCTCTCAATCAACTCTCATCTACTCCTTCCGAAGTCTGGTGTAAGCGGTTGTGCGCCTGAAACTGAGTTTGATGATCTGTAAGTGGTTGCATGCCTGAAATCTGAATTCGATGATCCTGGTTGATCTTGGTGAGATCAATCAAGTAAGCTCTTTCTGAACTGTTTTGGTGAAAGGAATCAGAAGGCCAACTTCTGGTAGGTTTTGGTGAAAGGAACCAGAAGACTTATGTCATGGGGCTGGATGTGCAAGAAGTAGGAAGATCCATCAGACTCATATGAAGGGAGCACAGGAATCAAGGAATTGGGCAGATCGGAGGATTTGCAGCAAAGTTCACTGAGATCTGTGGTAGAGATGGCTCTATGTCAGATCTCACCTAGATTGGTGCAAGTGAAGTTGATATCACAAATCCTGCCAGGATCCACAGTAAGCATGATTGTATGGCAGATTCCACAGAGATCAGTGGCAAAGACAGTCATAAGGCAAACTTCACATGTGAAGGAGACCAAGCTTTGCCAAGAAGGGGACTGAGCTCAGAAGCATGCAGCTGGTTACCACTCAGGGGTCACAAGATGAAGACCAGGAGAACTGTGTCAGAGGTCGTGTGCCTGAAACCTGAGATCGGTAGTTGTAACAATACTATTACTGATTCTGTCGAGTTATGCGACAGTGCTTGTGGTATTGTGATTCTTCACGAGATATGCAGTAGAGCCATCTCTATTACTTTTCTCGTTCAAATCCATAGTTGTGATGATGCTATTGCAGATTTCGACTGACCACTGTCAGACACTCTGTCCAGAGGTAGCTTGGCATGATCAATAACTATGTGAACTTGCTGATGACACCAAAGGTCTGGTGTGGATATGGATTGGTGGCATTGACATGAGTGTCCAGTGTGTTGACTATGCTTGAGGTGACCCCTGGACTGCAGTGGACTACTGCCTTCGGTTCTATCGATATCTGGACTGCTGGTTTGCTAAGAACTGCCTTCAGACATCAGGAAACGGTGATACAACACACACGCTTTGATGAGGAGCAATCTATTGATTGCAACTTATGCTGACTGGAAACTAATGAGTACTTATGTTTCTAAAGTATTGACTAGTTATATGGTGAGTGTGTGTAGAGTGGATGAGGATCCACTCAACCACTAGCGACAAGAAGGTATGGCTTTATACCTCTACTCAGTGGCACCAGCACCACTACTCCTGCTCTCCCTCCAGAGGGTGCCTTCTGTGTCGAGTACTTCACAGGAGTCTTCAATGAGGCCCCTCCTCCTCATTGTGTTGGCCCATCTGTCTCTCCTGAGCCATGCCAACTCCATCGACACTGCTCCTCCTCCTTCTGTCCTCCTCGCCAGTTTCTCATACACAGCTCTCCTTCCTTTGACCAGTGATGGTCCCCCATCTTGTGTGCCCCTGAGTGGTAACCAGCTGCATGCTCCTGAGCTTGGTCCCCCTCTTGGCAGTGCTTGGTCCTGCTCCCCCCACGGAAGCTCATGGTAAGCCCATTCCTATCACTGATCTCCACAGAATCTGTGATAGGATCTCTCCTATTACTGATTCTGGTGGAATCTGCCATACCCCCTCTCATATCACCAATCTTGGTGTGATCCCTAGTACCATCTTCCCTCGAGCTGATCCTGGGCTCATAGTACTATCCTCTTTCCTGCCGATCTCGATGAGATCTGTCATAGAGTTGGTACTATTGCTGATCTCAGTGAACTCTGCTTCAAATCCCATGTTCTGCCCAATCCCTTGATTCCTGTGCTCCCTTCATATGAGCTTGACGGATCTTCTAGCTTCTGCGCATCCAGCCCCATGACAAACTGTTGCTGGTGGGAGGAAGAAGAGCTGTGACCAGGACACTGGCAAACAGGTTATGAGGAGGAAGAGCAGTGTTGAGGAAATCGACACCTAGTTCAAGAAGGACAGATAGGAAGGATGAGGAGGAGGAACAGTGTTGTGGGCGATGCTGCAGGCATGGTATATAACCATGCTCCTCATCATAGCAAGTGAGTGGATCTTCATCCACTCTACACCATATCAACTAGTTAATACTTCAAGCATAAGTACATATTAGTTTCAGTCAGCATAGTTGCAATCAAGTAGATTGCCTCTCATTGTAGCATGTGTGTTGTATCACTGCTCACTGATGTCCAAAGGCAGTTCATAGCAACCAGCAGTCTGGATACAAGATAGAACTGAAGGCAGTAGTCCACTGCAGTCCAGGGATCACCTCAAGCAATAGTCAACACACTGGACACTCATGCCAACACCACCAAGCATTCATACTCACACCAGACCTTGGTGTCAGTACAGTTCATATCATTATTGATTGTGCCAAGCTACCTCTGGACAGAGTGTCCACAGTGGTCAGTCGAAATCTGCAATAGCACAACCCCAATCACAGATTCAAGTGAGTAAAGTCATAAGGACATCACTATGGCATAACTTGATGAGAATCATAATACTACATATACAATCACATATCTCAACAGGATCTGTAATAGAAGCAGTCCTACTACAGATCTCAGGTTTCAGGTGCATGACCTCTGACAACTTATTTCTGGTAGGTTTTGACTGACCACCTTGAACACTCCATTCAGAGGCTATGCGGTGTCATGGAAACTGTGCAGGAAGATCTGAAATGAGGTATGAGGAGCTTTGTGTGCTCAAATTGCGAAATCAACCAGATCATGGGTTTCCAGTTAATTTCCCTGACAACAACCACATTGTGCTTGTCTGGTTGATTTTACTGAAATCAACCAGAATAAGACTACCCAGTTGATTTCACCAAATGCATCACAAGAAGCTTCCATCAAGACAGAATGAGCTGATGGACTACAAGGAAACCATGGGAGGCCAAGCAGAGAAGGCTGTCAGGGGTCTCGCGCCTGAAACCCAGGTCGGTCTGTCGAGATACTCGGTGACTATTAAACTGTGTGACAGCTATTGTCTCGGTATCGGTGACTATCAAGTTGTGCAGTGACAGCCGGTGGCGTTCGTTGTATATACTATCGTAGGTTTCGGCTGACCTCTGTGGACACTCCGTTCAGGGGTAGCTCGGCATGATCAATATCAATGTTATGATGACACCAAGGTCTGGTGTGGGTGTTGATGATGATGAGGTTGATGGTGTTGGTGATGAGATTGGTGATGTCGATGATAATGAGGTTGATGGTGTTGATGATAAGATTGGTGATGTCAATGATAATGAGGTTGATGGTGTTGGTGATAAGGTTGGTGGCGTCAACACGAGTGTCCAGTGTGTTGACTTGATGCTTTGAAGTGATCCCCGGACCGCAGTGGACTACTGCCTTCGGTTCTATCTATATCCGGACCGCTAACCTGCTATGGGCGCCTTCGGACGTCAGGTAGTGGTGATACAACACACACACTACGATGAGGAGCAACCTTGATAGATTGCTGCTATGCTGACTGTAACTAATGAGT